CATTTTTCATATTTTGTTGCTCCAAATTGCAGCGTTGTTTAAGTACAACAAATTTTGAATTTACATAGGTAAAAATATTTAAATTTTCAACTAATAATTTTCGTTTATGAATAAAAGTTTTTATTTTTAATTTCAAGAATTAATAATTTTGAATGTTCTGTTTTTATTAAAGTATATCCGTAAAGAAACTCTTCTCCAGTTTGAATAAGTGCAAAAGTTATATCTTGAGTTGACAAGGAATAAATTATTTGTAATTTTTCATTTATGTTACTAATCATTTTGTTTGCTTTTCTTTCATATAATACATAATAATTAATAATCATAATAATTAAATTTACAAAAATTTGCCAGTATTGTTTCCCAAAAAATAAATCTACTCTCAATATCTATACAATTTCCATCTGAATATTGACAAATTGTTCCTGTTTTTAAATGAATTTGATTTGTTTCAATATTTATTGTAGCCTGATATGAAAACAAATATAGTCATTATTCCTTGTATAACTACATCTAGCCAAGTTCCATAAGGATCTGAATATTGTATTCCTAAACATTTGATTTATTGATTATTACAGATCCAGCAAAAATAATTGGTCGCAAAGTTGTAATTTACTTTTAATCCGTTAATTATGTTATTTACGTTTACAGGTAATGCATATTTTCGGTTTTATGCATATTTTTACATTGGTTAAATGTTGTGTCGATTATATATTCTGCTTGCGCATTTTGTACAGTTGATATATGTGAATACATGCAATAATAAATTGCTCACAAAATTGAGACTTTACATTGTATAATATTAATAGATTCAAGTTTTGACAATTGTAATAATTGAATTTTAGTTTCTTGTGTGATTCGATTAACGGTATATTACATTCTTCTATATCCAATAAAGACAATGTTATGACGGGTTGGACGTTCCGCAATCAAAGCATCGATAATTCCATAGCTTTCTCCTATCAAGATATGGATGAGAATTAAGAGAAAGATTTCCACTTTTATCTGTTTAAAAAGAAATATTATTATGAGTGAAATTGAAGTTGTTGCGTGGTACAAGTTCAATTTCTTTACATTGTCTATTTTTTGGTTTTTCGAATTTTGTTAGAATGAATAATCTTTTGTTTTCCTCTAAAAAGAATTTTGATATTTCCATTTGGTAAAATATCTGTAATTATATGTGGTCCGAAATATGGATCATCTAATTCTTCTTTTCTAGATTTACACAAAAGAAAAACTTGATCATTAATTTGAAACTCCATTAATTTTTTAATCATAATAACGTTTAGATTTAATTTTTGAAGCTATTAAACATTCTCGAGCCACTTCTTGTAAATTATGAATATTTATCATTAATTTACATAAATAATCATCATATGTTTTTGCTTTTTCTGTATCATTAATTATTTCGCTGGACGGTTGTCTGGCCATTTTATCAAACATCAACTCATATGGAGTATATCCAGTTAATTCATGTGTACTTGTATTATAACAAAAAGTTGCATTCTAATAATGCATCCCATTCAGTAAATTTATTAACATATTGTTTTAAATATTCAATATATTCAATATATTCAATTAATACTAAATGAGATTGTTTTAAAGCTCCATTAGTGAATAAAAGGATGTTGTTTTAAATTGTTTAATTCGAAATTGTTTTATAAATCTTTTCATTAGGTTACTCATAAAATTTGTTCCTTGGTCTGTTAATATAGCCTTAGAGGCTCCAAAAATATAAATAAAATATTTTAATAATGAGTCGGCGACTTTTACAGCAGTTATTGATTTTAAAGGTATTGTTAAGGAAAATTTAACTAAATGATCTTGGATAGGAATTGTTAGGATATAGGAATTTCCTTTAGATGTTTCTGATAAAGGTCCAACTATGTCCATTGATACTTTTTCAAATGAAGAAAAAGGTGTATCAGTTATTAACATACGTTGTTTGGTCTTAACTCAAACTAACTTTTTTATTTGATATTGCAAGCATTGATTTATATAATTTCGAATTTCAATTTTTTAATTATCCCAATAAAATTTTTGTCTAATTCAATTATATGTTTTAGCTACTCCTTTATGTTCTCCAATTTTTGATGAATAAGCTTCTTCTATTATATCTTTTCGATTTTCAACTTCCGGAATTCTAGACTGCGACAAATTATTAATTTAATCGAAATTTCAATAATA